CCACTTTTCCTCTCCGAAAATGTCCTCTTGTTTCCCAATACTGCTTTAAATCCTCATTTTCCTCTTGTTATAAATGGTTCTATGTACACTAGCTTAGTCATCGAGCTAAGTTCTATGGAATCTCTAGTCACAACAATATAATATGAACAACGCCTCTAAAATCTCCCTTGATAGACGATTGCTGACTTACTGCCCCATAACAGATGCAAGAGGTCAGCGAGACGTAAAACTTTGGGAGGTAACAGCGAGGTAGGAAGAAGAAATGTGAATATCTGGAATGATTTTACACGTGGCCCAGTAGACAGATTGAGAGCAAAGCAAAGACTCAAATTGGGAGAAGCAGATAATGATCGAGACGATCCACAAACGGTGTCTCTTAAAGCAGAGTCACTTAAGAGGGTTGATATAAGGGAGAAGAAGTCTTTGAATCTGGGTGAAGTTTTGGATATGGAAGAAAAGAGCAAAGAGCTCGTTGAGGAGTTCGCCAATACCGTCAACTCCATGCTTGAGAACAAAGAAAAGGATCAGACGCCAGACCCCGTGAGTGAAAATGTTTCAGGTTTCACAATGATAGTTTAAAGCTGACTATTTGTTTCAGGACTTGCGAAATGATGGAAAGGACGAGGAGGCCTTTTTCGTTCCCGCCGATGTCTTGAAAAGACTTGAACGATCTGATAGAATGAAAAGTGTGCCAAATTTCTTGTAAGTGCTACCTCTCCATAAATCGATTCCACCATACTCAAATGTCGTGCAAAGAACCCCCCATAAAGATATCTTCTATATCGAGATTGATGGGCAGACCTTCGCAGTATATGCGGACTTCCTCCGTTATCACGTTCCTCTGTTACATCAATATTGTTCCGCCGCAACCGAACCACATAAGGCCGTTACACCCGAAATTCTTCAAGGTTTTGGGTACAAAGTTATTGCGTTGTTCATTCAATGGATGTACTCATCTCCCGCAGACGCTTATAGTGGTCTCTCGGACGAGGAAGGCGAGACCGCCTGTCAAGATTTCTTGATTAAATTATGGGTTCTTGGTAAAAGGTTGGAGATCAGAGGGTTGGAGATTGATGCCCTCGATGCTCTGGGCCGAAGGATAAAGCTAGATCAATATTTGGACTTGGGGACTTCGCGTTGGCTCTGGAACAACACAAACAAGGATGATAAGTTGAGAGAATACTTTATTCAGTCTTGCGTTGAAGATTATTCGGCTCTGGAATCTAGGATAAATGAATTTGCGCCGGATGAAATGAAGGAGATCATCAAGGGGAAGATCAGCTGGTTACGGGATTGGACGCGTATCTAGGGGGTGGGGGGAGCAATTACCGCGGGTGTACTTGGGATGCGAAATACATATCATTATACAAAAAAAACGAAACAATGTTGAAATTTGATGATTGTTAGATATCTTGATGATTGGATCAGGTAAGAAAGAGGTTTGGCCATACTTGACAGTGACTTGAACAGCAATAACACCCGAAAAGCCAGAACATAAAGTTTCCCTCTTCCCAACTTTTCCTTAAGTTTTAAGCTCAAGTTGCCAGAAAAAAAACTCGAAAATCCATGTGTGAAGACAAGGGAAAAGAGTGTTATCATTGATATGTTGATTTTGACATGGCACTTTCGATAGCCTCTCAGGCATTGTCATAATCCCCATATTGTACGGTATATAAGGTGGTAAGGGTATACCATAGCCACAAAGGAATTAGAAATTCGAAATTAGCTATATATGGGATAGATATCCAACAAAAGAAAGCATTGTTTAATGATATCAAACAGAAGATGTGATAATTGCTGGTATAACCTAATATGATATAATATATGACATAATAGAGGTTCTAAAAGTAAATAATTTATCAAATGATATAAGACGAATAGAAACAAAGTTGTAGATGAAAAAAAGTTAGAAAGTTCAATAATAATAAGGTATTATTATCTTAATATAATAAATATATCGTATCTTGGTATATTTTTTTTATGAAATGGAATGATATAATAGGACAACATAAGATGAGATCATGTGAGATGAAGTAAAGTGAGGATAAAGCTTGATTAGGTATACCTAGATATAAACCCCTCTTACTCCGTAGACCTCTTTCGTGGATCGTACATTGTGACTCGAGTGGTGATATTCAAGTCTAATCCTAATAAAGTTAGGCCCATTTCGAGAAGATCGATCGGATTGAGCCCCTTCCGTCAATCATTACCTAGGTAGGTACCTAGGTCAGGTCAATGTAGGTATTCAATTCACATATGCCATATCATATGGATGTTCATGTTTATCAATCAACATCAACATTGATGTTTATGTTCATGTTTATGTTCGTGTTTTTTAGGTTGGGCTTCTCTGATCTGGTCTGGTCTGGTACAGGAGATAGATACCTATGTCAACGTACTTGGTAGATATTATTGTAATGGTAATAGTACCTAAGGTACCACCTACCTTTCATTAGTTCGCACTTGTCATGATCCTTAAGGGCCAGCCCGAGTCCTTAACACTTTCCGGCATCTACCTAATCCAACCTTGAAATCTTCCAATCTCCTATCCATGAATAACCATAACCATATCAGGTGACCATCTAATCATAACCTTGCAAACATTTGGTTGGATTATTGGATTCCCATATTAGACCTTCCACTGATCATCACTCCAGCTGTAATGTTTTTTAATTAAAACGCATCGCCACAACTCAAACGCCAAGGCAAGGTAAGTAAGCACTACCGGTAGGAATAGGTCCTGGATCATGTATGTGATCAGGTATGTATGTACCCACCTAGTATGTATATCATTGATATGATCCGGGAACTACTCGAGCCGCTCGGGTAACCTTATGTTCTATGTGGGGAGATCAACAATGTATTCACGCAAACATTCACGCAAACATAATGATACAGATACAGAGAGCGGGAGAAAAGGGGCTTTGAGGTTGGATTTGAAGATTGATGGAAAATTGGAAAATTGGAAAATTGGAAAATACCTACATGAAGGGGTGTTCGGATCGTTGACACCCGGTGAAGGCTGAGCTGAACAAATCATCTATTATTGACAAGATAATAATAACAAAGACAGGTCAGGTAATGTTGGACCCTTTGAGACCAAGTGTTTTCTTTCATTTCATTGACGGTTAATACCTATTTTAACTATTTTTAACGTCATCAACTATCAACTACCTATCAACTAGTTTTGCGGACTGGCGCATTGCCGGTCAACTCTATTACTTGATGTAAATGCTTTTAGAGTTCACAATGAATCGTTCGGAATAGTCAGTGACCGGTCAGAACCTTGGAAGTCTTCCAGTCTTCCTTCCATCGTCATGAAAATTTGCCAACATCACCAACCCTATATAATCTACCTGTTCTCTGCAGTGATATCAATTATTCCTTAAACAACAAGCCATTCTACATCTTATCTTCTCAACCATACCACATTTAACAACTGCCTCTTCCCAATATCTCTTCACATCAATCAACAGCATCATGCTCTTCTCTTCCACTACCCTCGTCGCCATTGCTAGCATCTTGAATGTTGCATCGGCCTTTCCCACAAAAAGACAGGCAGCACCAACTGATGCAGATATTCTCCAATATGCCTTGACTCTCGAACATCTTGAGAATGCTTTCTACAAGAAGGCTCTCTCCGAAATGCCAGAACAGATGTGGCTTGATTCGAATTTCTCCTCTTCCTTCTACGAGCAATTGAAATTCATTGCGCATGATGAAGAGTCCCATGTCGTCTTTCTTCAAAGTGGTCTCACAGCTGCAGGTGCGGCCCCTGTAGCAGCTTGTGAATATAAGTTCCCATTCACGGATCCAAAGTCATTCGTCGCTCTCGCTTCCGTCATCGAAGGTGTTGGTGTTTCTGCATACCTCGGAGCAGCAGCCGATATTACAGAAAAAGCCTACCTCACCGCAGCGGCTTCTATCCTCGCCACCGAAGCCCTTCATCAATCCGCTGAACGCAACGCAAATGGGGAGATTCCAATGGCCAATCCTTTGGCCACACCTCTTGGACTTAACGCCGTCTATTCCATTGCATCATCCTTCATAGTCTCTTGCCCATCCACCAACGCTGCCCTACCAGTAATGGCCTACCCATCTCTTACCCTTAAGTCCGGCTTGCCTACTGCACCAGGTGCCGATGTTGCCCTTGCCCCAGAAACTACTCCTTCCGGAAAGTTATTCACTACCTTCGTCAGTGGACTTGATACTATCCCTGTTGAGAGTCAAGTCGGTAGTGATGGTTTGGTCATGACTGCAGTTCCAACGGGCATCTCGGGACAAAGCTATGCCTTCTTGACCAAGGACAACTCAGGCAACTTGACTGATTCCAACATCATTGCTGGTCCAGCCATTATTGAGGTTACACCTGATGCGCCAACATTCAACTCGACAATGGTCTAAAAAGCTTGATATCTTGTAAAGGCGAATTCATGGAGGTGTACATGGGGGGGGAGCTGGTATTAACCTTTGAGGTTTATGATGATTAACGGTTTAAATGGGCGTTTGATTAGTAGCATTCTGCGTGTAACTTGTAATCAGTTTTTGACCTGGGCATTGAATACAATGTCAAACCAGGAGATTAATGAAAAATGATATTCTTAAAGAAAATATTCTGTGATAATATTCCGTGATAATATATATCTGTGGGTGAATCGATGAAATTTACTATACAGAGTCCCGTCAGTTGTATTATAATAATCGAAATGAGGTTCATGGCATAGCACTATCTAGCACCAGATTTGATTGGTTTAACATAGAATTCCTCACATAATGGAACCCCCAACCAGCCCATTCAATTTTACTCCCTCCTCCACCGAATAACCCACAAAAAGAAAGAAAAGTTTTCTTACACCCCACATTCCAATTAATCTCAGAATCAAGCCTTTGTATATTAAAATGCAGTCGCCACAATCATCAAACATCACAAACAGCTCATCCTAGCTCCAATCCCATATTCCTTCAGGAAACTCACAGTCTTCTGCTAGAAATACTGAACTGGCCTGCTGGCCCAATGGCAAGGCGCTTGACTACGAAACACTTAGGAATGTAAATATTCTAGGTGTTGGACATCAAGAGATTGCAGGTTCGATCCCTGCGTAGGTCAAATTTTGGTCTGTTCATTTTTTTATACAAAATACAATCGAATTAAATACACTCAAACAACAGTAAGTATCTTGAGCATTTTTAAGGCCCTTAATATCGAGAAAGACCCAATGGAACAAGGTTTCGAAGAGAATTCATACCATCTTATTGTCGCCTCGTTAGTTCTTCATGCAACCCACGAAATGGAAATCACCATTCGAAATGTCCGACGTCCGCTTAAACCTGGAGGACGACTTATCTTGTTGGAAATTGTCCGAGACCAGATTTTTTTAGTCTTATATTTGGTTGTTTACCAGGACGGTGGATGGGATACGATGAAGGACGCAAAACTACACCATCCTTGGCGGAAGAAGGGTGGGATAAATGCCTGAGAAGTACTGGCTTCTCGGAAGTTGATGCCATTGTTCCGACTCAGAAGACCATATCTGTGCCGCTAGCTGTCATCTCTTCCCAATCTATGGATGATCAAATAACTATGCTCCGGTCCCCTTCTACAATTCCCGTCGAAAGGGTGTTTTCGGATTTGCTCATCGTTGGAGGTTCTACCAAAAGAGTTAGCGAACTTATAAAACCCTGCGCCAGATATCTTGGCCGATTTTATAAGAATATTACTCTCGTAACCTCGTTCGAAGACTTGGTCGCTACCGAAGCCCCGTTGAGGGGTACTGTTCTCAACCTATGTGGTTGGGATGATACTATTTTCAAAGACATGACTGCAGACAAGCTCGAAGGTTCAAAAAAGCTATTTCAGCAATCAAAGATCTTTTTTGGATTACACAAGGCTGCAGGCATAATGATCCCTTCCAGAACATGTCTCTTGGACTCGGAAGGACTATAAGTCTCGAGATGCCTCATTTTCGATTACAGCTTTTGGATTTCTACATTGAGGATCAACCCACTTCCGACATTGTCAGTACAAGGCTCCTAGAACACGAAATCTACGAGTCGTTGGAACAAACGAGTCAACACAAGTTGCTCTGGTCGATTGAACCGGAAGCCGCGATTGAGAATGGCAATTACCTGACTCCATGTCTTCTTCGTCAGCCTATCCGTAACGCACGTTATAATTCTATCCGGCGCTTCATAACAAAAGATTTAAAACCCCACCACCGTGCCTCTGAGTCTTGGGTTATTGCAAGGCTACGTGGAGAGGACGCTATGGTAACGTGTCAAGTCAAATACTCAACCATACACGCTATCAAGGTAACAAGCCAAGATTATGCATATCTCGTCTCCGATATCGATACAAGAACTAAGGGACTTGTTTTTGCAATGTTTCCAAACCGCACCTCCACGTGCCCCAAACATGGATTATGACTTGTCCGTTAAATCTTAAAGGTGCCCTCCGCCTCATGCTAATCCTCCAAGATTATATTTTGTCTTCCACCATAATTGCGGAGTATTCTTCAGGGCAAACCTTGGTTCTTCTTGAGCCCAAACGTGCCTTTCCAATCGTTGTCTCTCAAGTCGCTTCCGAGAAGGGGATTCGCACTGTTTTCTTGACCACAGAGGCAGACACTAAAGGTCAAAACTGGATTTATATGCACCCAAATGCGCCCAAGCGTGTTACTAGAGCAACCTTGCCTAGAAAAGTGACTTGCTTCATCACAAATGCAGAACATGAAGGTTTGAGTTCCAGAGTATCGACTTATATTCCGCCCCATTGCGATTTCAGAAATGATGACTTCCTTACTTCTAACGAAACCAGACTTGATGAATTCTCTTCTCCAGTATTTATTCCTTCCTATTTTCGATCTGCCTAGGTAAAGGCTTTCAATATCACCAATCCAGTCGCTGTGGAGCCTTCAGTGGTAGAAGTACAAGAACTCTCGCCTGAGTCTCAGCCTGCAAAAAATATGGACTTTTTCAGCTGGTCTGATAATCTCACTGTCCCTGTGGAAGTTACACCAGTAGATCATGCAGAACTCTTCTCGCCTCACATAACATACTGGCTGGTGGGTCTCAGTGGTGGGCTAGGACTCTCTCTTTGCAACTGTAAGTTGTCTTCTGGTAATTCGCGGTAGCATATGATCTTCAACATAAAGTTGAAACAATAAACCCACTAGTTGTGGTGCAAGGCCAAGATTATCTGTATTCACAATCTGATGTCCAGATCTTGGCCGATAGCTATAAAGGTCTAGTAAAGGCATTTGCCAAGTTTCCCGCTTCGACTCTGACCCGGCCAGCTCTGTATGATATAACCTCTACTCGACATGCCCACGATATTGGCAGAGGAATCTCTAAGTTTCCTCAATGGCCGGTGACACTAGTTCATCGTATCGACCATATTTCATCAAAATATGGGCCATATATCGCTTTGGAGAGCGGTCTGTCTACCCTTACCTATCATCAGATGTGTCAACGTGTTAACTCAATTGCAACTACTCTATCACACTCTCATCATCTCGGAACTGGTTCGAGGGTTGGGGGTTTCCAAGATACGACCACGGACTTTTATTGTACTCTGCTTGCTATTCTTAGGATTGGTGCCATTTTTATTCCCCTGGAATCGCGGTTGCAAACACCTAGAATCGCCCCCATAATCAAGGATAGTGCGATTGATGCTGTATTGTTCGAGACAGCAAATCAAGCAGACATGAAAGCTCTTGGAAATGCTTTCAAAATAATCAACGTTTCAGCTGTCACAACAACAGCTTCACGTCAAATAACGAATTCTGCCGTTCCCGACTAGACGGCTATCATAATGTACACAAGCGGCTCCACTGGTGTTCCTAAAGGCATACTTTTGCGTCATTCATCATGAGTTAACCAAATTGAATCTTTATCGGAAGCATGGAATCCCAAGCTAGGTTCCGGGGTGCATCTTCAACAGTCATCCTGGAGTTTTGACATGTCTCTATCACAGCCATTTTTGGCGCTTTGTAATGGTGCTACTCTCTTGATTGTATCCCGTATAAAATATGGAGATATGCCTGCTATAGTTAGATTGATCATCTCAGAGGGCGTCACCTTCACTCATGCCACGCCATGGGAATATGTTAATTGGATAAGTTGCGGCGACCTGTCATCCATGTGATTTTCTTCGTGGGAGACCGCTGTGACCGCGGCAGAGTAACCAACTAATTCTGAAATATAACAATTCAGGAAACTTCAAAAACAAAACCTGAAGCTTCTCAATCTCTACGGTCCCACAGAAATAACGTTCGGAATGAGCAGTGCTGAAATTCTTTACCTTATGGATTATAATCTCCAAACGCCTATGGAAATATTCCCTGATTGTTCAATCTACATTCTCAATTCGAAGAGACAACCTCTCCTCATCGGTGTACCGGGCGAAATTCATATTGGTGGGGCTGGGGTAGCTGAAGGATATCTCAACAATGAACTTTTGAATAGAGAACGCTTTCTCCTGGATGATCATGCATCTGTGGAGTATATTGAAAATAATTGGATCAAGATGCATCGAAGTGGCGATCGAGGCCGTTTGTCAAACAAGGGCGCTTTAATAGTTGAGGGCAGAACGGATGGTGACACACAAATCAAATTAAGAGGTATTCGATTTGATTTTGAAGATATTGAATCCACCATCACTCAAAATGTAAATGGCGCCGTGAAACAGGCGGTTGTATCCCTCTTCAATTCCAGCTCTGCTGACAAAAGCTTTTTGGTTGCACGTTTGTCATGTCATCTGGCTTTTCTGGTGTCCGAAATAACGCACTGTAAAAGCTGCGGGTATCGCTGTCCCTTCCGCAGTATATGGTTCCTGCGATAATCCTACCCGTAGACAAGTTTTTGATCAATAATTCACATAAAGTGGATCGAAAAGCCATTTCAGGTCTCCCCTTATCACACAAAGTATATAAAGTCATGGCTCCAGTCACCATATCCCAATTCTCGCAAAGTCAACTGATAGACCTCTGGCAACAGGCTCTTGGAACAGAAATTGCCTCTCATTATGTTATTGAGCACAATTCTAACTTATTCCAGGTTGGAGGAACTTCCGTGGGACTGATAAAACTACAATGCCTCATTAAAACCCGATTTCAAGTAGAGGTTCCATTAGCACAGCTTTTTGAAAACCTAACTCTTGATTCAATGACCGGAAAAATTGCTCCAGTCTCCGTTGTTGTTTGTGTTGATAATTTTCCCACAAAGTCTATGGCTAATCATCGCAACTTTTTTTTCATCGGACAACAAGGTGGGGTTTGAATAATATGGATATTGTTAAGATAGAAAATGTAAGGAATCAACTAGATCAATATTGGCTCCAAAACTTTTTATTATCTTTTAAATAAAATTCTTATTATTTTTTTAAATAATTGGTGATATATTGTCAATTATTATTTAAACAATAATATTTTGTTTAATATAGAGTTTTATAAGCTTTTAAAGCTTTTTTTATTTAATTATATAAATTTATTTTGTATATATTAATATTTTATAAATTAAATATTATGTTAAAGATTTATTATTAATTAATATCAAACGTTAACAATTATTAATATATCGATTTTAATTTTGAATTTTATATTTAAATATTTTTTTTGTTTTTATTATTTTTAAATTTATAATAAAGTTTTTTTTTTTAAAACGTTTTATTTAAAAAGTTTTATTTATTAAAACTAATTGTTTATATATATTAAAATATTTTTTTGATTTATATCTTTATAATTATTTTTTTGTATAAATAATAGTTTTTAGGTGGTAATTTATTTTTATTAATTTAAAATTTATATTATTAATAAAATATTAATTTTAAATAAAGTATATTTTGGTATTATATATTTATATTATTTTATTTTTTTTGATTTGTTAAAGATTTTACAAATATTTAACAAACATTAATTAAATATTGAAGATTATTTTTGTTGCGATACCAGTGAATCTGCAGGGCAGATTCACCGGAGCGTACGGCCGCGTGCGGCCGATATGCCCGCACCCCGCGGGCATATAAGCTCGCAGATCGATCGTAGATCGATCTGCATGCTTTTATAATATACTACTTTCTACTATACATATTTTGATACCACCGAGGTGATT